GCGTAGCCCTCCGAAACCAACCCCCCGGTATCTCTCTTCTGCTTTTGTTTGTAGGGATCCCTTTGTATTTTGTGGATTTGCAGGATGACTTAGATGATTGTGAGTAACTGTTTTTTATTTTTCTGCTCCCTGTTTAGGCCCTCCCCCGCGCTCCCACCCCGGGGTTCTTCTGTCGCCCTCTCTCTCTCCGCGTTTGTATCTAGGCTAGGGCGAAGGGAGGATTTTGAGGCTGTTTGCACTGGTAGGCGAAGGCTCATCGGACGTTAGGGCTCACGAATTAAGAGCGTGTTCGCGTGTCTGCAGGAGCGCGGTGCTGACAGGGGGAGCGGGCTCGCTCCCTCCCTCAGCTGCAGGCCCTCGCCTCCCCCGTGCTTCACAAACCTGGGAGTGGCGGGGGGGGGGGGGGGAAAAGAAGCCGGCCTTCCGAGAGACCATCCCCGCGGGGCCGAATGGCCGCTGGACGGCTGGGTCGGGTGTAACAGCACCGCCGACAATGGCCCGCCGTCGGTCTCCAGGGGAGGAGAACGGGCCCGGCCGGCGGTGGTGTAGGGATTAGCTCCGCTCTTGCGGTCGGTGAAATTAGCCTGGAGTAGCCGGGGGATTTCCTGACTGAGGTAGCTCAAGTAGGTGAGACTTTTAAATGCTATCTTTTAAATACTCCTTGAAAATGCATAATAGATGGATTCCCCTCCACCCCTAATCTAGCACGAGCAAGCTAATGTAGGAAGAAAGTGGTCTTCAGGAACACCAGGGAAAATGTTAGAACACAGGTGAGATCTAAAGTATTCCCTCGGAAAGACGTGCAGAGACATCGCTTCTGAGGGCAGAAGGTCGTTCTGTGGGATCTTGTTAGTTGCTGCTCTTAGGTGTTGTTGCTCTCAGTCTTTGAGGTTTCTGCATTTCACTAGTGGGTAGCAGGAAAGAATGATGTGTCGTTTGTATTTTGATTAAGTTTTAGAAAGAAAAGTTTGGGATCTTTTGTGATGTATAAATGGTGAGATTAATTGTGTATGTAGCTCTTGGTTGGGTTTATGTTTGTATTTTTGTGTATTGCAAAATATCTTTAACGTTTCTCTTATACAGGTAAATTGTAACTCTGTCAGTCTTAATTAATTTTAAACTGTAATCAAAAAGCATCCCCCTTCCTTAATGCAGTTATCTATTTGAAAAGCTAGAAATCTAAAAAAATGTAATAAGTGTAGAGGGATAGTACCTTGAAATACACATATTTAATACATAAGGACTTAAAATTTTGATAACAGTGTAAAAAGTTGCTTAAAAACAGGTACTAAAAATTATTGCTTGCTGCAGTAAGTAAATGTAAGAAGTTTGTAAGAAGTCATCACCTAACATGACAGAAAGCATGTATGTGTTGAACAAAATTTAAGTTTGAAAGAAAATAGCTGATACATTTCAACGTGCTTATGCTGATTTAAAGACTGTTTTGCAGTGAGTTCCTCTAGCGGAAAAGCTGCAACAGGTGTTGCTGTGGTATCTTACTTAAGTGTTGAAAATATCTTTCTGCCCTAATTTAAAAAAAAAAAACCAAACCAAAACAAAAACAAACAAACAAAAAACCACAAATGAAATCCTTGATAGAGCTAATGAATGCTTAGCTATTTGAATTGATTGGGTCTTTCTGGATTGCTCCCAGTTCCCTTTCCAATTTTCTTCTCTCTGTATTAAGGAGAAAAAAAAAACCCCAAACCAAACCAACACTAGCGTGTCATTTGAGTTCTGTTTACTGAGTGTGTAAAGTGCAAGCAGTGGAAATAAATGTAAACTTCCTGTAGCGTTCTGTTATGGGTCCTGGCCTTGAACCAGGGTGACCATTACTAGGAGTTAGGTGTTCCTTCTCCGTTAGTGTTCAGTCGTTGGCTGTTCTGTTGAGACTCTGGGTAATGGATTTGTCTGATAACTCAATTAAGAAGTTTGATGCTTGTAGGCAAAACTCTAGTTTGAGTTAATAGTTAATAAAAATGTTCAGATAAAGGAAGCTTTGCCATAAATAGTAGTTAATAAGTTTTTTATATGGGTCACTTAAAATTTAGGTAAAAGAAATTATCAGTTTCAGGATGAGCATGTAAATAAAGGGGTGTGCATTTTAGAGCATCATTGAAATCTTGTTTTATGGTTCAAAAATATTCTTTGATTAAGTTCATTAATTTGACAATGCAGTTAGAATTATGGTATTTAAAGCTGTCTTCTATTTGTGTTACAGCAGAGTTCAGACGTCCCATCTAGACTGAGATATTGTTGTGCTAATCCCATGACTAGTCTAGCAAAGAGTTCATGATGCATTTTAGGAAAGTATCAGTGAAATAAATAATTGGAACTGGATTTTTACTTTCTCAACTAAATTGATAAAATACTGTTATGCACCTTGAAGATCAATTCCATTGAAACAAACAGAGAGACTGGGGGATTCCTTTGAATTTGGGGAAGAGGTGTAGTAAAATCTACCTAAATTCATTGAGTACAATTTAAAACTTGGTTTTTGTAAGGTGAGTTATTAGATCATCTAGAAAAATAATTAGCTTAATTATGCCCTTTGTATAATAAAGAAAATGTATTTTTAAAATTGTTTTTCCTTCTAAAAACAGATGGAGAGAAAATTACCTCCTTGAGCTCGTGAAATCATTGCGCTCTGCGTTGGTATTTACTATTTTGTATTGGCAAAAGTGGATAGCGATACTAGCTAATGATGTTGAATTGCATAGTTAAAACCTGTGACCCTGTAGGTGTTTCTTATAGGCTCTAAGTAGCTTTTGAGTCTAGGTCAAACTAAGGGACAGCGAATGCAAGTTCAGCTGTGAATACCGTCACATTTATTCTTGCCTATAGGTGGACAGATTTCAAGCTTGCTTGTTTGATATCGTTAGAAGGAAAAATACTGAATGTTTGATTCACCTATGAAAGAATATTAGATAAGTTAAATACTAGTGCATTATTTTTCTGTAACTTACTTTCTAGTACTCTGATGTATTCTGAAACTTGTAAGTACCTATGGCTTCTTATTTTACGGAAAAAGAAAATTAAAATTTTTGAGAGAAGACAAAATGGATTCTGCTGTGACTATTCCTTACTTATGTGTACTCAGTGTGTGGAAAAAATTTGAGGTATTTAACTCTCTTGATCCTGAGCATAAGTAGTTTGCTCTGTTTTCCCTCTGGTCCTAGAAGCACTGGTGTGTGCTTAGCTAATTTAAATGAATAATAGAACTACTCCAAGTAGTAAAATTAAGCATGTTCATCATGTATACAAAATTAGTCCCAGGTGTAGTATTGTAGTCAAACTTAGAATTGAGATTTACTTCATTGTCATTTGAATTGGTAGGAATTCTGAAATATTTGAAATGAACTGATGAGAGCCTTCATTTTTAAACTGTTTCTTAATTCAAGAACAAGTGAGCACTAGATAAAGTTAATGGCAAGTGTATTGTTTTTTATTTTTTTAAGCCCTAATAAATCTTGCTTTGTATAACAGGTGGCTAGGCTCAAAAATTAGATGGTTAAAGAGTGTCCAATCTGTGTGGATTTTAAAATATTTATATTATAATCGTACAGATATAAGGATGGTCAGAGTTGGGTTTGGGTATGGAGAGTTTGTTGCAACCTCAGAAAGGAAATCCGCAATCCTGCATACGCTGTATAACTTCCCGTGGGCTTTCAGTGGCACAGTAGATTTCTTTGAAGCAGCAAATACTGGATGCTGCCTCTTAAGAAGTATCTTACTATGCTTGGTGGGAAAGCTAGCCCTAGAGCATGTGGACAGATCAATCCCAGACAGATCTGTGTAATGTAAATTATATACACTTGTGCAGATAAATGTTTTCAACCTGACAGAACTTAGAAATAATAATCACCAGTTGAATGGAAATAAGGGTGTCAGTACAATATGTAGTCATTATAAAAAGCCATGAATAATTAGCATATGTTTCTGATCATGTAGCTGTGGGTTCACTTGTAGTATCTGTGTATACATTTGAAATGTGAACATCTAGTCTAATCCTACAGTTTTCTTCTGTTTGAATCCCATTGAACTTGTTGGTCAGAGCATATTGTCTGCAAGAATTGCAGAATTCAGAATTTCTCTTGTCTTTTAATTCAACTGGGTTCCTTGGAGAAGGTGTGCTTTCTTAAACCAGTCTGCATTTTACTTTTTTCCCTGAAGACCCAGGTATAACATTTTGGTCCAAGTATGTTCAGATGATTTTGTCTTTAAATGAGCTGTATTTCTGAGAAAGTTTTGGCTCATGTTAAGTAATTGTAAAGCAGAGTTTTATATGTGAAATAGGAATTTTTCTGTAATTTTTCTGTTCCTCTCAGTAATAGAGGATTTTTTTTTTAATATTAAAAGTGATTTATAATGGGTATTAATGTAGTTTAGAGCCAAAGGTCTTTGTGTTGGGTCTCAGATTAAGGGATTCTTTAGGAAGAGTGTTTGTAATATAAAACTGGTAAAATAAGAGTGAGGGTAGAGCTGAAGCTTAGTTATCCCGATTAAGGTATAGCCACTTCAGTCCTGAAGAAATTGTTATATTGGAGATCATGGAATTACATATACACATAATTTAACCCCCTGGCAGTTTCAGAGTTCATTATGAAATAACAG